CAGAGGACTATAAAGAATCTTGCCAGAGAATCTAAAGGAAAATACCCTGTCCTATTTTTATTATTATTTTTAATTAAAATTCATTTTCATTGATTTTAGAGAGGAAAGGAGAGGGAGAGAGAGATAGAAACACCAATGATGAGAGAGAATCATTAATTGGCTGCCCTCCTGCATTCCCCACACTGGGAATTGAGCCTAACCCAGTCATGTGCCTGACCAGGAATCGAGCCATGACCTCCTGGTTCATAGGTCAGCACTCAACCACTGAGTCATGCCAGCCGAGCAACCTGACCTATTTTAGACAAGAGAAAAACAAACCCTGGTTTGTTGATGCCACTGTTTTTTAGATTTCTACGACTAACAGATAATAGATTTGAGAGAAAATGGCTATTATCTAAAACCAAAATCCAGACTCAGAAAAACAAGGTTTATACTTCTCCCCAAAAGGATCTGGAGAAGTAGAACATTATCAGAACTTTCTTCTGATGGGAGAGAGAGGAAACTAGTTGGTGGGGAGAATGCTACAGAGAGCAGGTGTGGATCTCTGAGAAAGATCCAGGCTTGTTCCCTGAGCTGCCACCACTCAGGGAAAGAGATGACAGTAAGACTGTTGTGCTCATTTCCTGTTGCTGCTGGAACAGATTTCCACAAGTCTAGTGGCTTAAGGCAACATAAAGTATTATCTTACCATTCTGGAGTCCCAAAAGGGACTCACTGGACTAAAATTAAGGTTCACAGGGCTGGTTCCTTCAGGAAACTCAGGAGAATTGGTCTTCTTGCCTGTCCCAGCTTCTAGAAATTGCCTGCTTTCCTTGGCTCGTGGCCCCCTTTCCTATTCAAAGGCGGCAATGGCTGGTGGAGTTGTTATCACAATACATCACTCTGACACCGATTCTTCTGCTTCCCCCTCCCACTTTTAAGGAGCCTTATGACTGCATTGGGCCCACCTGGATAATTCAGACTCATTTTCCTATCCCAAGGTCAGCTGATTAGCAACTTTAATTCCACCTGCAGCCTTAATTTACCCTCGCGATATAACATATCACAGGTTCTGGAGATTGGAATGAGGGCATCTTTGGGGAACCTTATTCGGTCTCCCACAAAGGCCTATGCAGGTGTAGAGGCATGTGTCCCATTTTTCTTCTGGTGCCTTGGAAGCTTGTTAGCCTTCTTGAAATCTTCATGCCTGCATGGGAGGCAGCAGTCAAGTAGATGTGGCAGTGTAGGGTGCCCGGAGGGAGGGGCCTGAGAGCTGCCTGGTAGTTTCCTGAGAGCTGGCAGGCCTGAGAGGGGTGATGCAGCTGAGGAAATCACTGCGGATCCCATGTGTGGGGATCCTATGGGGATGCAATGCCTCAGAGAATGCTAGCAGGAGGCACATTAATTATTGGGGGACAAGATAAGAATGTTCTCAGGGATGTCAACAGCAGCTGCCCATATATAAGGAACCCCACCCCGTTTACACTACAGAAAGCCCTCCTGGGAGGGGAAAGGAACAAACCTCTGAAGTCAGACCCCTAGAAATTTAAATTGATTCAGAATACGGAGCACTCCCCTTCAGTGTTCACAGCCCAGAGGGTAAGGAGGCTGAGCAATGATTCGAGGCTGCAGTTTATTCTGGCATGTGTACACTATGAGAGGCCTACAGAGAAGCACCCCCCCCCCCCCCCCAAAAAAAAAAATCCATTGCCATGCTCTGATTCAGACACCTTTGATGTTACTGGGAAAAATCCCAAGTTGACTAAGATGATGTTCCTGTCACAAGGCTGAATGGGAATTTGAGATAGAAACTAGTTTATCACAGAAAAATAATGCGAGTCCATATTTCATACCTTTGGCTTTGTGCTGAGAGCTATCCCAGCTACATGTAAATGAGGACAGTGGTGCTGAGTCTCCTTTTCTGATGAGAACAACGGGAGAGAGTGCTTTATTTTCGAGTGCCTGGTGAGATGAAGCTCAGTGTAACCGGTGTGTGTGGTCTGTGATGAGCCCCCTCGCTCCCCTCCAGATCACTACATGATGGGTGAGCTGCACAGTGAAATCAATCTCAGGAACGATAAGCATGTGACATTTTGCATAGCTCATAGCTATTTCCACATAACTATTCTGACACATAAAAACCAAGCCATCCACCTTTCAGCTTTGAGAAAAGCAGACTGAGTGGAATGTTGAATATGAACCTTCCCTCAGCTCTGTGCCTTGCTCATTGGTGTGAGCAGGGTGGGAACAGCAGGCTGGCCTGGCTAGGGGAGCAGATTTCTCCCCAGGGCTTTCCTGTGTGAAACCTTCTCTTAATCTCAGTCATGCTCCCATGTGGTGCCCTCTATGGTCTTTTCATCCAAATGAACAACTGTCATATCCATAGGCTACTTTAAAAATCACAGAAAGGCAGCCCTTTGGAGGAAGGCGGTCAGAAGAAGGAGTTAGCAGCTGTAAGGTTTGAGGCCTCACCCAGACATAATTGCTATGTTTGGCCATGGCTTAAGCGCAGCAATTGAGCCCCAGCTGGTTTGGCTCAGTGGGTAGAACATCAGCCTGCGGACTGAAGGGTCCCAGGTTCGATTCCAGCCAAGGGCACATGCCTGGGTTGTGGGCTTTATCCCCCATGGGGGATGTGTAGGAGGCAGCCAGTCAATGATTCTCTATCATCATTGATGTTTCTACAATATCTCTCTTTCCCTCTCCCTTCCTTTCTGAAATCAATCAATAAATATATATATATTTTAAAAGCTTTAAAAAAGAGCAGCAATTGAGAAGAGAACAAAAGGAGAGATATGAACAGCAAATCTGACCATGGCGATCCTAGTGCTCTAATGTATCCAACCACAGAAGCACATGGCCCTCCTCCTCCTCCTCCTCCTCCTCCTCCTCCTCCTCCTCCTCCTTCTTCTTCTTCTTCTTCTTCATCTTCTTCTTCTTCTTTAAAATATATTTTATTGTTTTTTTACAGAGAGGAAGAGAGAGGGATAGAGATTTAGAAACATCGATGAGAGAGAATCATCGATCAGCTGCCTCTTGCACACCCCCTACTGGGGATGTGCCCACAACCAAGGTACATGCCCTTGACCGGAATCGAACCTGGGACCTTTCAGTCCACAGGCTGACTCTCTATCCACTGAGCCAAACTGGTTTCGGTGGCTCTTCCTTTTTTAATGTTAAAGGGAACATTAGTCAATTCACTGTCATATAAACTATCTGAGAGACTACTGCCAGACTGGGTTGGTCTTCCATTGGTGCTGGAGATCTGGCTGCTGACACCACCGAGGCAGAGTGTGGAGCCACTGGGCCAGTGTCTGAGCTGCCTTCTGCAGCACATGCGGTATCACCAGGGCTCACACCTTGACCTGGGCCCCGGGTTCTTGGGTTTATTATGGAGAACGTTACTGTCATCAGTGGGCTTGCCATTAAAATTGGAAGGACAAACAAGCTTGTTTTGTATTTTTAAACAAGTGAAAAAATAATTACAATATTAGTAATAATAGTAACTAATATTTATTGTGTACTTACTATGTGCTAGGCACCACGCTAAAGTACTTTACATACATTATCTCATTTTTTTTAATAAGAGAAAGTTTAATTAGGAAGTCACAGAGGTAGAAGAAGTGAGCCTAGAAGAAATGGGCTCAGGAAACAAGTGACAGAGGCAAAAGAAAGGCCCTTGGAGTTTAGGAGAAAGAGAGAGGCAAGGAACACACGCCTGGGGAAGGGGGTCAGGAAAGGCATGGGTGTGCTAGAAAGAGAGGAAGAAAGGGAGAGAGAGAGGGGGGGGGGGCATACATTATCTTATTTAATCCACATAAGAGCACTGAGGGAAAAGAATGGTTATTACCCCCATTTTGGAGACAAAGAAGCTGGGGCTTAGCAAGGCCAGCATTCCTGGTCTATGGTCACCCAACTTACAGATAATCAACCCAGGGCTTGAACCTAGGTTTCTGTGCTTAGAGCCTGACATCTCAGCTGCATGCCATTCAACCTCTTGAACTACGCATGGGTAGGCTCCCACTGCCAGAGGGAACGTGGGATGGCACTGGGGAGTGGAGGGCCAGGCTAATGCCCTGGGAGAGCTCTCTTGAAACCACACTGACTCACCCTAGCAACTGGCAGGGGACCAGTGGCTGAGAGCTTATTCTCCACAGGCACAAGGACACATCTGGCTTCAGGAAGCCTTTGGGGCAAGGACGGGTGCAGATTCTGGGCTCCTGGGGCCCTGAGAGGGCTCACATAGGGCTTAGCTCATGGGGTGGGGGAGTGGTGGGGTGGGCAAGAAATACGGAGCTCAGTAATACTGCCTTATATCAGCCAAACTGTGACTTTTTTCAGTTTATATTGTCCATGGACTGTCTCAACAGAAGCATTTTCCTAAGGAGAAAGGTACCTAGAGCCATATTCATTTCAGAGACAGCTCATCGGAGGGATGCAGTCCCTGCCCAGCAACTTGAGGGGGTTCTTTATCCTCCTGGGATCTAAGCATGGCATCACGCTCACATGGTGTGTGGAACCAGGGCCCCTGGTGCAGGAGGAGGGCTAACCCTTCTACAGCAGCAGCAAGTAGAAGACCACCTGTCTTCTGGTTTCCATATGTAGGAGGGGACACAGTCACCTAGGACAGTGGTCGGCAAACTGCGGCTTGTGCGAGCCACATGCGGCTCTTTGGCCCCTTGAGTGTGGCTCTTCCACAAAATACCACAGCTTGGGTGAGTCTGTTTTGAAGAAGTGGCATGAGAAGAAGTTTAAATTGAAAAAATTTGGCTCTCCAAAGAAATTTCAATCGCTGTACCGTTGATATTTGGCTCTGTTGGCCAATGAGTTTGCCGACCACTGGCCTATGGTTTTGAACGTGTAACGTTCTTCCCCTTATCAAGGTGTTGGGCAACACTGGAGACCTTCTGCCTTTGAGACTCTTAACTCTAGTGGTGGCCAAGATGATGTCCTGCCACTCTGCACACTGTCCCTGGGCCAGGCAGTCGGCAATGCTCAGGGCGGCCATGTCAGTGGAGTGGGGTGGGGAAAGAAGAGGAGAGGGTGGAGGGTCAGGGAATCCCTTAAAGCCTGTTCCACCTCAGGGCTGCTGGGTCAGACAGAACAGAAGAAGAGCACAAAAGAAGAGACAAGAACAGGGAATCTGACCATGGCTACCCCAGCGCTGGGACGAATCCAACCACAGAAGCACACATGGCTCTTCTTCTTTTTCTTTAATGTTAAAGGGAACATTAGTCAACTCACTGTCCCATAAAACAGTGCAGCTAAGTTGGAGGCGTTTGGCATGACTATTGTTCCTCCTTCCTCAGAGAAGAGTTGGGAGCAGCCCCTCCTCCCTGCGGGAGGATGTGTGGATCCCAGGAAATCTCTGGATCCCTCCTGGACCACTGGCCTCCTCCGGGCTTAGGAGTGCAGCCTGTTCTCTGTGACAGTGCTGCCTCCCCCGCTGATGACGAAGCTCCGGGAGTTGGACACCACCAGAGCCGGGGGCACCTCCTCGGGGTCCTCAGTCCCCGGCGGCGGCTGGCGGTCTCCACCTGCAGGCGCTTGCAGGCCAGTCTCCGGGGCGCTCAGTTCTGAGTCTGGATCCGCACACTGCAGCGGGAGCAGCGCCTGGTGCCTGGTGAGGGTGTCATTGCTTTTCTGGGACTCCAGGGAGTTCTGGTGCGAGGAATTGCGGTGGGCACCCTTCTGAGGCTCGTCAAAGCTCAGCGAGAAGGTGACGGTGCCGCTGCCGAAGATGACCTGCTTGCACCTGGGCTGCTGCTGCTGCTGCTGAGGCTGCAGGGCCGAGGGCGGCTGCTGCTGCGGCTGCGGCTCCCGCTGGGGCAGGGCGAGCGGCTGCTGCGGCTTCTGCCTCTCGGGCTGCGGGAAGGGGTCCTCGCTGTTGCTCTTGCTGCTGATGGGGGAGGAAGAGGACGGGGTGGAGCCCGTGGAGCCGCCGAGGCTGCCGGAGCGCCTGCGGGAGACGTTGCTGCGGCGCAGCGTGGCGCGGGCCGCCACCTTGAAGGCGTGCGCGGCGGTGCTGCAGCGCACCTCCTCGATGGTGTTGCGGGCCGGCTTGAAGAGGATGATGTAGACCTTGTTGAAGAAGATGCAGGCCAGCAGGCCGAAGCTGGCCGCCAGGATGGCGATCACCTCCACGGCCGAGACGAACTTGCCATAGGTGCTGGCGTAGGCCGGGATGAAGGAGATCCAGACGATGAAGAAGATGAGCATGCTGAAGGTGATGAACTTGGCCTCGTTGAAGTTCTCGGGCAGCTTGCGGGACTTGAAGGCGAAGAAGAAGCAGACGGCGGCCAGCAGGCAGGTGTAGCCGATCAGGAAGCCCAACGCCATGAGCGAGCCCTCGTGGCACGTGATGAAGATGACCTCGTCCTCCAGCTCGTGGTTGCGGTAGCTGGAGGGCGGCGCCGTGTAGAGCCAGATGGCGCAGATGACGATCTGCATGAAGGTGCAGAGGAAGACCAGCAGGAACTGCAGGTTGAGCCCCCACCACTTGCGGTGGAAGCTGGTGGGGATCTTGGCCTCGAACACCAGCAGCACGCGGTTGGTTTTCACCAGGATGCAGGAGATGCAGAGCACGAAGCTGATGCCGAAGGCCGGCTGGCGCAGGCGGCACGTCCAGTCCTGGGGCTCCCCGATGAAGAACAGGGAGCTGGAGAAGCAGCAGAGCAGGGAGAAGAGGAGGAGGTAGGAGAGCTCGCGGTTGGTGGCCTTGACGATGGGCGTGTTGCGGAACTTGGTGAAGACGCCCAGCACGAAGGCCGTCAGGAAAATGCCCAGCACGGCGAAGAGCGTGAGCGCGATCCCAAACGGCTCCGTCCAGGACAGAAACTCGATCTCCTTGGCGATGCACGACGTGTGGTTCTCGTTGGACCAGAAGTCATCCGGGCACTTGTCGCAGGCACTTGCATCTGTCAAAATGTCCCAGGGAAGAGGGAGTGACTGAGTGTAGCAGAGACTAAAATGGATGGGTGTGAATGTGCTGGTGAGAGTACATGGGTTACTGGGAGTGGTCACTTTGTATGGCGCTTACCGATGAAAACGGTGATTTTTTTACATGGTCAAATAATATAGGGAACCCTGACATGTTTAATTCTCTACTTAATTTCATGGGCCTTTGATGATTCTATAATTGTTGCCCCTTGGTACATGGGGGAAGGGGGGCGTACATGTTTCCTTTAAGACTGTCTGCTGATGGTTTGCAGCAGAGAATGATCAATCAGGTGGCTGCCCTGAGGTATGACACAGTCCACCAACTTTTCACAGAACGATTCAAGCTCAGCCTGACTCATTCTGGAAATGTAGATGGGCTTTGTAGACATTCCAGAGAAAACATCCTCAGATCAAGGCAGAGTATCGTACACCCATGACCTGTGCCTTCTTCCAAGACTTTCCAGTGAAGGAGGCTATAGACTCATTTCATCAAGGAGCGTTTGGTAAGTCTCTGGCATGTCCCTCACAGCGTGAAGTTTGGGGATGTGAGAGGAACATGGGCTTTGCAGTCAGAGAGCTGGAAAGGAATCCTGGCCCTGCTATTTACTAGTTGTATGACCTTTGGGCCTCTGTTTTCTCATGTATGAACTGGAAGCAATAATAACCCTATTACTATGGGGAGGACAAAATGAGATAATAGCAATTATAGTTAATATTTATAGAGTGCTTCTAATATGCCCATCAAGGATTGTATTGAATAGACGTTTACCTGGAACTTGCCATGTGCTTTACCAATATTAACTCATTTAATTCTTTCTTTAGAGGTGAGGAAACTGAGGCACAGGAAAAACATGCGTAAGACAGCAAGTACAGTGCCAGGCACCCAGAGGCCACCTGTCATGGCCTATTGACTCTGGAGCCTGGAACAGACAGGATTTTGTCTATTCCGGGCCTCTGAGCTACAAGAAAAGGAAAACAATATTGGGAAGTAGTGCCAAAGTCAAAGAAAGATGTGCAGCAGGTGTGTTTGCAAGCTCTTATGGTGTTGTAAGACATCTAACATTTCTTTTCTCCCTCCCTCAGGACCCAGCCCAACGTGATGCTCAGATACACCTTGTTAAATGAGAAACTGTACTGAGCACCATCTCAGCCTAGCCTTTCCGGGGACTCCACTGACACCAGGTCCCCAAAGCTCTACGCGATGCCCACAAAGGGCTGTTCCTTTACCTGTCTCGTCGCTGTACTCCCCATCGGGACACTCCACGCACTCAAAGCAGCAGGTGGGCTCCCCCTCAATGATTCCCTTCCTGGTCCCTGCCAGGCAGATCCGGCTGCAGTTGGAGAAAGGCACCTGGAAGATGGAGAGCACACAAATGAGGGCTGCAGCTGTGGGAACAGTCTTACAGCTCCTTTGACACATATAAGGGGGAGGAGTTGGGCTCAAGGACCAGTGTGGCAGACTCTAGGCCCTTTCCAGGCAGAGGAAGGTCCAGAGACTCTACCGCATGGGGTCTATAAAGGGGAGAGATGCTTATGGACCAGTGAACATGCAAGTGCTCGTGTGCGCGCGCGCGCACACACACACACACACACACACACACACACACACACACACACCTGTAAGATTCTAGGAAAATTAATTGTTGGGAAGATGCCATGACCTAAATCCTTCTTAAATAACTCCCCTCCCCCTTCCATTTTCTCCAGGTCCCAGAACAAGCCATCTGTTTACTCTCCATAAAAGTAGAAGTTTGGGACAAACTATTATAAAAGATACAAGGACATGGACCTATACACAGAGGGACAATCACAAGGGAAATGCAGAGGTGAGGGGACATTTGTCTGAAAACGGGACTTTTTCAGTGCATTGTAATTTTGCAGTGCATTGTAAAGTTTGCAGTGCATTGTAATTCTTGGAATTTTATTTTAGGCTTTTCAGGGAGATTTCTGAGATCCTCAGGGAGGCAGGCAGTAAAGGCATGAAGGGGTTGAAGGTAAATGGATCAAAAAGATATATTAGGCAACTTTTAACCAAAAGAAAGCTGCAGCAACTACATTAATGTCAGATAACATAGATTTTATTTTATTCTATTTTATTTTTTATTTCCCCCCAAATTTATTTATTCATTTATTTATTTATTTATTATTTTAAAATAAATTTTTATTGTTCATATTATTACAAATGTTCCTTCCCCACCCCCTCCATTGCTCTCCTCCACCAGGTCCCCCCCCTCCCCCCCTGCCCTTTCCCCAGCCCTCATTGTCCTCATCCAGATACATAGATTTTAGTTGACATGTTTATTTCCTTAATGGACTTTAGGTGTACAGAATTTAACTAATCATAATCCTTGTTTCTTTCCATTATTGTTGTTCATGTTTGACTCATTTTTAGTTAGTCATTTTGAATGACAACCACCTAAAACAAAAGCTAAGACTGAAACAATTACACTACATCTAACTATAATATATCCTTCCTCTGCCCCTGACTTCTGCTCCCACCACATATTCATATCCTGGGTCCATCCCTGGCAAATAACACTAACTTTTCAAAGGACAGACCAACCTAATCTTATACAAACTCTACTGGAAATTAGGGGGGGGGGGGAAAGAAAGAACACCCTCCACCTAATTTTTGTAAAGTCACTATAACCCTGAGTCTAAAGCCAGACAAGAACAATATGAAAAAGAAAAAAACAAATACGGGCTCATTTCACACATTAAGTTGTTTTCAGAAACAGACTTAAGTCAGGAATTTATGCTTGAATAATTTATAAAGAAAATTCTTCCAATGGAAACAGGAAGAGAATGGAGGAAGTAGAACACAGAAGGGAGGGGAGAAGCAAGAGTGTGATCTTAAGCAAAGTCCCTCAGAGGGTAGCTCCTAACTGGTCCCCAGGGGAGCGCAGAACAGGCCTGATCTGGGGAGAAGGGGCTAGAGCTTTCAGACTTTCACCCTACTCACTGGTTAAGAAGTCATTTCAGGGAAATGTAAACTCGTAGGCCCTTCTGCCTCTCTGAGCCTGTGGGCAAAGTGGGTTCTATTAGTGTGCAGGCAAGGCAGTCTTCTGAGAAAGAGCAGCACGTTCTGGTTATTGGAAACAAAAATATACAGAAGTCTTGGAAGTGCACGCAAAGTGAAAGGAATGTGAAAGGATCTGAGAAGAGTACAACTATTTTCCACTTCTTGAAAATAGATGAAAAATACGAAAACAATGAACAAACAAATTCAAAGGATGTAAAAAAGAAAACATGTTAGGTTTATGCCAGGAATGCAAAAAAGCTTAATATTAGAAAAAATCTGTGTCATTCACTGCAATAGTATATTAACACAGAAAAAAATATGATCATCAACAGATGAAAAAAAAAAAAAAAGCATTTGATGAGCCCTGGCCATGTGGCTCAGTTAATGAGAGCATCGTCCTGTACATCAAAAGGGTGCAGGTTCAGTTCCCTGGCAGGTCACATAGTTTGTGGGTTTGATCCCTGGTCAGGCATATATGGAGACAATTGATCAATATTTCTCTTTTCTGTCTCTCTCTCTCTCCCCTTTCTCTCTCTCTAAATTCAATGAAAACATTTCCTCCAGTAAGGATTAAAAAAAATAAAGAGGCATTTGATGAAATTTAACAAAGACTAGTGATAAAAACTTAATGAAAAGAAGCAGGAAGAAATATCTTTAACTTGCAGAGGGGTAACAAAATAATCATCCACATAAGATTATTTATAGCATTTTCTTTAAACCAAGGGTGCCCACTATCACAACTATTATTATTATTATTATTTAAATTTATTTTATTTTATTTTTATTTTTTATTAAATTGTTATCTGTGTACATATTTTAACATTGACCCCCCCCCCCCCCCAACATTCCCTCCCTCTCCAGAGTTTTGTGTCCATTGGTTGTACTTATATGCATGTATACAAGTCTTTCGGTTGATCTCTTTAAAAAAAAAATTTTTTTAAATAAATCTTTATTGTTCATAATATTACAAATGTTCCTCTCCCCCCCACCCCCATTGCTCCCCTCCACCAGGTTCCCACCCCACCCTCTGCCCTTTCCTCACCCCTCATTGTCCTCATCCATAGGTGCACAGTTTATGTTCAGTCTCTTTCCACAACCCCCTCTCCCCTTTTCCCTGAGAATCGTCAGTTCACTCCCCTTCCATACCTCTGATTCTATTATATTCAACAATTAATATTGTTCATCAGATTAAAAAATTTTTTTTTTTTGGTTTTTAGATTCACTTGTTGATAGTTACGTATTTGTTGTTCATAGTTTTTATCTTTATTTACTTTCTCTTCCAAAAGAACCCCCTTCAGCAATTCATATAATTCTGGTTTGGTGGTGATGAACTCCTTTAGCTTTTTTTTTAATAAGCTATTTATCTGTCCTTTGATTCTGAGTGATAGCTTTGCTGGGTAGATTATTTTTGGCTGTAGGTTCTTACTATTCATCACCTTGAATATTTGTTGCCATTCCCATCTGGCCTGCATGGTTTCTGTTGAGAAATCAGCTGACAATCGTATAGGTGCTCCTTTATAGGTAACTACCTGCTTTGCTCTTGCTGCTTTTAATATTCTCTTTGTCTTTTGCTCTTGGAATTTTAATTACCGGTATTATTTGTTTTGGTGTGGTCTTTTTTGAAATCCTTTTGTTTGGAGTTCTGTGCACTTCTTGGACTTGTAAGTCTAATTCTTTCACCAGGTGGGGGAAGTTTTCTGTCACTATTTCTTCCAGTATTCTTTCGGTATCTTGCTCTCTCTCATCTTCTGGGACCCCCATAATTCTGATGTGGTTTGCTTGAAGTTGTCCCAGAGGTTTCTTAGATTATCTTCAACTTTCTGGATTCTCTTGCCTTCTTGTTTCTGCTGAGGAGTATTTTCTGGCCATTTATGTTCCAAATCTTTGACGTGATTCTTGCGATCTTCCATTCTGTTCTTAGGATTCTGTATATTATTTTTTATTTCAGACAATGTATTCTTTATTTCTTGTTGATCCCTTATTATTTCTTGTTGATCCCTTTTCATATCTTCATAGGTCTCGTTTATTTTATCGGCTTTTTCTAGGAGATTCTTGAACAACCTTATAAGTGTGGTTTTGAACTCTATATCCAGTCGCTTTTTGTCCTCCATTTCTTTCATTTGTGATCTATTTCCTTGTCTTGCCATTTTCGCAGCTTCCCTTAGGCTTTTACAGCTCCTCTGCTCTTCCTTCTGGTTTTCTCCTTGCTTCTCATTGTAGAATTTCCAGTCAGTCAACTTTCCTATAGTTCTGGGTAATGTCCATTTTATATTTTAGATGTATTTTATTGAAATTGTTGTGTGTGGCTGCAATTAGGTGTTTACCTGTGCAGCCATCTGGGATCCTCCCAGTTGATCTCTTATCTCCCCCAGATCTTCCTACCCTCCCCACTGTAATTTGACAGTCTTCTTGTTGCTTTACTGTCTTTATATCTATCTTTCGGTTCATCAGTTTATAATGTTCTTTATTATCCATAAATGAGTGAGGTCAAGTGGTATTTCTCTTTCATTGACTGGCTTATTTCACTCAGCATGACGTTGTCCAATTCCTATCCAGGTCGCTGCAAATGATGAGAATTCCTTCTTTTTTATGGCAGCATAGTATTCCATTGTGTAGATGTACCATAGTTTTTTGATCCAATCATCTGCTGATGGGCACCTAGGCTGTTTCCAAATTCTAGCTAATGTAGATTGTATCACAACTATTATTAAATACTGCACTGGAGTTCCTAACTAGTAGGTAGAATAAGACAAAAAAAGAAGAAAAAAAAGAGAGGCTTAAATATTGGAAGGACTAAATAAAACTGTTATATTTGCAGATGATAAGGTTGTCCAAAAGAGTCAACAGTCAAATTATTAAAAATAATTGGAGAGCAGCTTCAGACTAAAATATCACAGCCTAATAGTGTTTTTGAAAATGAAGCCCAAGTTTAATTGATTTTATAAACATTTTTATTGAATACAGTATATTGGGGTGATAGCTACACTAATAAAAGAGAAAGATGCAAATTGACCATACCTTTGTGACACCCACCAGCTAATCAGGAGTGAGTATGCAAATTAACCCAACAAAGATGGTGGGTTAATTTGCATACAAAGGCACTGAGTGGCCTGGGGCAGGATGCTTCATCATCACCATGGTGACAACGCAGGCATTCTGCACAGCCTCTGGGCAGCATGGGAAGGCAGAAAGGTGGCTCTGTGCCAGACTGAAATCATTGCTGACACCCAGGGGAAGGAAGGCCAATTCTTCCACGAATCTTCATGCATCGGGCCTCTAGTTGGTTAATAAAATTATATAGGTTTCAAGTGTACAATTCTGTAACACAT